GTGGGGAGCAGTCATAAGGTGAGATCAGGACAGGGAGCTTAGCACATTCCGCTCTTCTTTTGGTCAGCTTCTCCAGAGAAAAGCAGACTTCCCACCCCACCCCGGTAAGAATCTAACTGCCTGCTTTTTGAGAGCTTAGCTGGATAATTGGAGGTCTCTGTGTTATTCTTCCTGCCCCCAGTGGTGGTCTAGAGCGGCCTCTAGTCCAGGTACTGTTTTACCTCTTCCAGAGACTAAACCGCCAGACTTTTTCTTGGAACAATTGCCTAATGATGGGTAGCTTGCACCTAGCCCTCACCTTGTCCTTCTCAGGTGCTATTGAGGTTTCAACAGAGTGAAAACCCACTGGGTTCCCACACCACCCTCACAATTGTTTTTGTGATTTTGCCCATTGTTGCAACCCTTGTGCCAGTTCATCTCATTGAGAGTCTTTATCAAGGGCTCCTCTACCTTTCCAAGCATGGTAACCTTTTTTAGGGATCAGTCGCTGCTGATAGAGGGTCCAAGGTATACAAGACAAAGTTTAACCTTCCCTTTTATTCTAAGGGACATCCTGGCTGTACTTCTTCTAAGACCTTCTGTTTATTCTTCAGGCAGTCCAGGGGACTTTGCATGTTTTCCAGCAACTTTATAATTCAAATGCATCAGTTGTTCGCTTTCACATGCCGATGAGGCAGCTGAAATACCCTGTTTTGGGTCAGGTACACCCTAGCTCGCCCTCAAAGTGACCTCTTTGTCTTTAGCATTTTAAAGAGGTCTGGTGCAGCAGATTTGCAAAGTAAAATGCATCATTTGGATTTCTTCAGGAGCACTTATTGTGGACCCGAGTAAAAGGAAATTCTCTACTACTTCCAACTTCTCCTCATTTATCATGCTGCTATCTCTCGGACGCTTGTGGGGATTTTTTCTTCACATTGAATTCTCAGCCATAGGGAAGGTTCCGTCTTTGATCTTCATCAGCAAGTGCTTCAAGCCCTTCCTTCTCCTTTTCAGCAAGCACGTTTGCGTCCTCTGCATATCAAAGGTTGTTGACAAGGCTTCCTTCAATGCTGCAGCCACATTTTTCTTCATTTAGTCCAGCTTCTCAGATTATTTCATCCGCAGTAGATGGAGTGAATGTGGTGAGAGGATGCAACCCTGACCCACTCCTGATTTAACTGTACAGTTTCCCGTGTTCTGTTTAAATGAATGTCTCTTGGTCTGTGAGCACAGTTAACTGTTCTAGAATTCCCATTTTTCTTCCATAGGAGCTTAGAATTCCCATTTTTCTTCCATAGGAGTTTATTATGATCCATACAGTTGAATGCCTTTGTACAATCAATAACATATATGTAAAAATCTTTCTGGTATTTATTTTCAGCCAAGATCCACCTGATATCAGCAGTCAAATTCCTCATCCCATATTCCCTTTTGAATCTAGCTTGAATTCCTGGCAGCGCCCTCTCAGTGTACTGCGGAAGTTGTTTTTGAATGATGTTCAGGAAAATTTTACTTACATGCAATGTCAATAATTTATTAATTTCCACTTCTTTTGAGTCATGTTTCTTTTGAATGGGCACAGGTCTGGATCTCTTCCAGTTGGCTGGCCAAATAGGTTTCTTCCAAATTTCTTGGCACTAATTCACAGATTAGTGGATGCTTTTTCAGTGTTGTATTAGCTTGTTGAAGTATTTCCATTGATACTTTGATAATTCCCTTCGCCATAGTTCCCAAAGTACCAGGTACTGTCTCCTGTTCGTTTTTGAGGGTGTTGTTGTTAGGTGCTGTTGGGTTAGCAACCCTGTGAACAACAGCAAACACTGCCC